CCCCCCCCCTGCCCCTGCCCCCACGGGTTGGGAGGGTCCTGACCTTTTCCTACCCACCACCAGCTCCCCTTTTTGCCCCCAGGGAAGTTGGTCACCTCCAGCCGTCCTTCCTTCTGGCAGTGGGGGCCTCAGCCAGTGTTGCCGAAGCTTCACGCACCCTTTCCTGTTCATCGAATCTTTCTTTTTTATTTTAAAAGGTGTAAGAATCAGCCTTGTTCTAAGCAATATCGTCCATGAAATCACAGGGTTAAGGTGTCAGTTACCATTTCTATCATTCATCCACATGTCAGCCTAAAATGACCTTGCAGGGGCTGGCCCATGGCCTGGTGGTTATGGGAGCTGGATCCTACATGGCCAACTGCATGGTTCGAGCCCAGGCCCAGCAGCATATGTGCATGCATGCCTAAAATCCCAAAAGGAGGGAGAAGAGGGGGAGGGAGTGTGGCAAGGCCATTTCCCCAATTGTCACATTCTCTCTCCTCTTCTCCCCCTCCCCCACCTCTCCCTCTCCCTCTCCCTCTGGTGAGTGCACACACCCTGTGGCAAATTTTAAAAAGATCTTGCTGGAAAAGGTACCCCACTAGACAAGGACTCTTACTGAGGAGGACGAGGAGTGAGCAGGTCAGGCTGGCCCAGCCCCGTCACATTTTCTCTGAATTCACCAGTGCTTTGCCTGTTTAATAACGGTCAGCGCCTACCTGCTTAGCCATGACCATGGAGGTTAGTGCAGGCATTTTGGAATGGTTTAAAAGGAATGGGTCCACCCTGACTCACAGTGGGTTAAGAAGAACCCTCTCTCCTTAAATTTGAGCAGCACACTGTCTTTCCTCTCATTTTGTTCAGCTGTGTTTTGTTATCGGGTGCACGCACTTGCCAGAGAGACAAAGAGGGAAAGTGAGAAGTTACCACCCGGGGAATGGCCACACAGTACTCATTCCCTTCTCCTCTGGGGACTTGGGGACTTGGGGCATGCACGCACTCCAGGGCTCAGCCACACAGTAGGCCGTGTAAGATCGAGCGCCTTAGCTACCGTGCTGGGCCCCAAACACACAGACCTCTCTGTATCTTCCATTGTTAGTGAGCTTGATGAAGAGCCTTAGTTCCTGGTTAGAAGGAGAGACTCTGGAAGTCTCAGGCCGGGCCGCCATCTCCATCTCTGGTTGGTGCTGTGTGATACAGGGCGAGCCACCTCCTGAGCTCCCTCTTCCTTCTCTGTAAAGTGGGCACCTACTTCATGGCTGCCGCACAGCTGCAGCAAGATGACATGGTGTGACCAAGCCTTCTCCCGCCTGTCCCCTGCCCTGGCTCTTTCAGTGTGAGCCTACTTGTGGCCAGCAGGTGGCCCCCTTGCCCCATCCTGCCAGTGCCACAGTCACCGACAGCCCCTGCCGATAACAACCTGCTCTGGCTGGGGCTGCAGAGAACTCAGGGCTTACTCAGGCACAGCCTCCCCAGGTACCCAGTGGGGCTCAGGGAGGTGGGGAAGGAAGACTGGAGGAACTGTTCGCAATACACTTGGGCCGGCTGCAAGGTTTCCATGCGAGAACATGCAGAAGGCTGCTAGGGAGCCCACTGGTGGGCTGTGCTGCCCCCACCTCTGTGCCCGCCACGTTCCAGGCACCACAGCTGCTCCCAGAACCACCAGCAGCTCCTGAGCAGCAGCGGGCAGGGAGCTTACGTGACTCGCCCGAGGTCCCACAGCAGGATGCACAGCTAGAGCCGTCCGCCCTGGCTTTCCCTCTGGCGACCACGGGCTCTCTGGGCACTTCCTGGCCCAGCCCCCATGAGCCCTTCAGGACCCAACCCAGAGACTACCTGTCAGTCACCAGGTGGAGAGCCGAGCACGGGCTAAGCATGCGGGCCTGCCTGTGGGTCCCTGCCAGTCCTGGCCCGGCCTCACCTGAGTAGCTAGGAGGCCCAGACTTGCCTTGACGGGGACCTCCTGACTCTCCTGTCCCACGAGTTCCTGGGCTTGCTCCTCAAGGCCCGGGTGTTCTCAGGGTAGGAGCTGCTCACTTCCCTGGAGGCCCTGGGCAGAGAATCAGCCTACTCTCTCCCCTCCCAGGCCGCAGCCATATCGGACACTCAGGGAGTCCGACAGTGCGGAAGGTGACGAGGCAGAGAGTCCAGAGCAGCGAACGCAGGGTCCTGCAGGCCCTGTCCCCGGTCCACCCGACCGCACTGCCAGTATCGACCTCCTGGAAGATGTCTTCAGCAGCCTGGACATGGAGGCCCCCCTGCAGCCCCTGGGCCAGGCCAAGAGCTTAGAGGACCTTCGGGCCTCCAAAGAGCTGCGGGAGCAGCCAGGGACCTTCGACTACCAGGTATGGTGGGAGTGGGGGCAGTGCTACAGGCAGGGGCAGGGAGCAAGGGGGCAAGCGTGACATGTCCAAGGCCTCGGCCAAGGCTCAGGTCATCTGACTGCCAGCCCCACCCGCAGGCCAGCAGCCAGACCACCTACCAGTGACCACTGGAGAACGTGCCAGAGCCCAGTGCTCTCTGCCCCCTCGTCTGTCTGTGCCTCTGACAACGGGCTGGTGGTCACTCTGCCTGAATCCCAGGCAGGCAGGCCTCTGTGGAAACTGCACAGCCCCACCCGACGGGGGCTGGTGGGTGACAGGCTGTCCCTAGGAGAGCATTGCATCAAAACCCCCGGGCTCGGGAACCAGCAGTTGGCGTAATGGCTATGTCGCTGGACTCCCACGTAGTCGACCGCGGTTCGTGTCCCGGACCCGGTGGCTTAAAACTCACGCCGGGCGTGTGTGCATGCATGCCCAAGATCCCGAGAGGACAATCG